TAAAAAAATTGCTTTCTCTGATTGCAGTTGGCCTGCAGCAATTGAAAACTGAAGCTATAGGTGATCTAGTTGTTAATCCAATTAAAGCTTGCAGCCCTACGAATAACCAATGTACAGTGCATTTTTGTTGCTTAGAAACTGAATAGAAGAGGATATTGATTTGCTGTACAACATGCATTTGTCTGTTTAAATAATACGCATAAAGTGGTGAGTCAGAATTGCCTGGGGATCTTCGGGGCACACTACCTGAAATTCAGGAATTCATACCAAGTTCTTTGACTTCAGACCAGGTGAACTTGAAGAGTGCCTTGTTCCTTATGCTGCTGCCTAGCCTCTTTGATATTTAGGGGAGGCACTTTTGGTGATATCTGCAAAGGCCTTTGATCAAGGTCAGCAGCTACTCAGGAAAGGTCCTTTAGTTTAGATGCCCCTGCCCTTTGGAATTCAGTATTTCCTGAAATAAGGCATGTGCCAGCAGTGGTAGTAGGTACCATGCTAAAATTGGCATTTGATACATGCATGTTAAAATTAATGGATGTGTGCTAAAATGGGTCCCATTCCTCAAATATATTGCTGATTGCACTTTTTCGCTATAATAAAATTAGTATTTTAAACAATTTTATGTGACTTGTGCTTTCGTGGTGTATATCTTTGATTTAAAAAAAATATTTTTAGAGCCTTACATAAATTTGTAAAATAATTACTAAAATGAATACCTCCCTTTGTCGGTGGTATGATGATTATGGACAGCAAGATTTGCTTTGGGCTCTGTTTTGGTACCGAGGTTCCAGATGTCTGCTTTAACAAAGTTATTTGAAGCAGAACAAACTGGCTTTGGAGGAAACATACTGAAAGTAGTGGTGCCATCTTATCTCCTGCCTGGAGGAAAAAGTTGCAAAAAAGTTCACAGCTTTTTGCTGTCAAGGAGATGCAGTAATAGGAAACCTGTATATAGTAAAAGTCTGCATGTCGAGCTGTCATTAAGAGCACAGAATCTCTGGCAAGGTCAAAAAAGTGGCATTCCACAATGAATGTTCTACCATTTAAGATGGAACACATTTTTGCAATGGCATCTTTAAATTCTGGGATTTTAGCACTGAATAATTTGCAATTTGCTCTCTTTAATCTGATTGAGCATAGAACATGATGTTTACTTTCTTACATCTGCTTGGCTTGGTTGTGTACCAACAACATACAATCAAGCCATTCTGACTGATGGTGATGCTTTCCAGGTTTTTCTAGATATAGAGTACAGTGGTGCCTCGCTTAACGATTGCTTCGTACAACGAAAAATTCACGTAACGATGGCTTTTTCAGAGTGATCTTGTGCTTCACTTAACGATTTTCCTTATGGGCGATTTTTGCTTAACGATTTCGGGACCATGCTTCACTTAACGATGACAGTTTTAGGTCCCCTTGTTTCGCTTAATGTTTTTTTTTACAGGCCCGTTTTTGCTATTTTTAAAATCTTCTAAAATGTCTAAAAAACGTTTAAAATGCTTGGAATCGTTAGTACACCTAATAAAACCTTCGTTAACTTAATTTGGCTTTGTTCTGAGTCTTTTTGAATTTTTTGTGAATTCCCCCCCCCCATTGAAATAGGCTTCAATGCATTTCAATGGGTTTCGCTTAACGTTTTTTCCTATGGGGATTTTCGCTTAAGGATGGTAATCCGTTCCAGTTGGAACAGATTATCTGGTTTTCAATGCATCTCTGTGGGAAATGGTGTTTCTCTTAACGATGTTTTCACATAGAGATGTGTGTTTTTTTGAACCAATTAAAATCGTTAAGCGAGGCACCACTGTACTCAGAAGTAGCTTACTGTTCTCTTCTTTTTGGGGACATCCTGGGAGTGTGCAGCTGGCCCAAGGCCACACAGGCTGTCCTTTCTCCTGGGATGCACAGTGGGGAACTGAACTTGCAGCTTCTGGCCCTGCATCCCGACTACCTAACTCACTATGTAATGCTTAGAGATTGTACTTTTGCAGATGATTGAATGACAAAGCAGGCTGCTCCCCATAATGACTGAAATGTGGTGTTTGTATTGGTTTTAATCCAGAATCATATGTTAGAATGATGTTATTCAAGATCAGGCAGTACTCACACTGTTGAATTTGATGGCACATCAATGAAATTTGATAATGGTGGCAGTAAAATGTGCCTCATGACATTCAGGGAATGCCTCCTTTGTTTTAGAGGAGAATTGTGTTCCCAGAAGCACAGTACCCTTTTAAAGCAAGATGTGTGCTCTGTGTGTGCCTTGTTTTAAGATTAATATGCAGCATTTTACATTATACATTACCGTAATTACACTTCCACCACCAAATTTAAACACTGCGCAGTGATGAGGTCATATGTGGCTTATGTCAGACTGCAGGACAGGGATTGTCCTCCAGTGCTGTGGAAATTGTCCGTACATGATCTAGCTGGAGGCTATGGGGCTCGTTGAGACTTCTTTATTCTTCACTCTGAAAAGGCCTACTTTTCAGTGTAGCTGCAGTCCTGCTAGGCTTGTACCTCATCTACTGTATTTCAGTGACAACATATAACATAATATGCCAGTGAGGGAATTTCTATCCATTTTGTAGTCTCCAGCATCCTAAGATGCTGACTTGCATGTGGCTTGATCTTATGTACTCTTTCATTGCTACTACTATTTTAAGGTGCATTGGGTAAATGCATGTTTTGCAAGAAACCTCTTTCTGGGATAAGGTGAATGCAAATGTTATTCTAGTCTTCTACTAGGAGCAGGTTCCGTTTTCCTCTCTTCTCCATTGCCCAGCCGCTTGTTGGAAGTTCTGCTTTCTCTTGTCTTGCTAGCTGTGGTTAGCTATGGTTTATTGCTAACCTCTGTATTAACACAAATGTAGCTACACAAACCCATCTTCTATTCTGGAGTTCTGTCCTGGTTGCTATGTGTGAGAGTGAGAGTGTGCTGTCTAGTCGTATAGTGACCCTAATAAGGTTTTCAAGATAATTGAAATACTTAAGGAGTGATTTTATCAGTTCTTTCTCCCTCCTCTGTGAGTTTCCATGACTGCGTGGGGAATCAAAGCTGTATCTCCTGAGTCCTGTTCTAGCCACCTCCATCCACAATACCACAACGGGTGTGGTTGGTACAGACATATAAATCATGTTTGTGTTACACAGATAGCTAGCTCTGTAGATTCATGACAATTAATTGCCTCTCTGCTTTACCTGTCAATGATCCTGTAGTGTCTTAAAAGCTTGCATCTTGTAGCAAGTGGGTTGATCTGATAAAAATTCTATGCATGTGTGAGGCCCCCAAAATGGAGGCCTTAGAGGGAGTGCCGTCGCTCTCGAAGAGAACCCTTCACACGCAGACATCTCCACCTCCGTCCCCAACGCGTTGGGAAGATAAAGGCGTAGAGACCCCAGATTGGGAACAAGAGGTCGCCGAACCCCTTACCTTAAATAAGGGGGTAGATACGGGAGATTTGGAGGCGACTATGAAAGGGTTAACCCTTACCCCGGAACCCGGGGAATCTTTGGCGGGAAGACGGAGGGAGGAGATTGAGGCAGCGGCAGGAGATATAAGAGGGAAGCCGGCGGAGATACCGGGGGGATGGGAGGGGATCTGGATGGAGGATCCCTGGACCCACAAGTGGGAGCAGGTCCGTGTCCCCCATGAGGAGGCGGAGAAACGCCGTCAGCTTGGGCTGAAGCCTCGCCCTTCGTATTGGGGGGAGACCGAGGCCAAGGAGTGGAGAAGGAAGCTCCGGGAAGAAAGGGAAGCTGTAGCCCGAGAGCTAGAAAGGAAAAAACAATGGCATATAGCCGAATTGAGGAAGCTGGGGGGGGGTTACCCGGTCCCTGGGGAGTCGAAGGAGGAGATGGGTCGTCCCGGGGTGAGTGGAGCGGGGATGAAGAGACTTTACCGCTGATATCTCTGGACGAAGAACTGGACCCTGGGCAGGGGACTGTGCCGTTATTAACAGGACCTTGGAACCCACAGACGACAGACCCTTTTATAAATGGTTTATGGACCCCGTTAAAGTCGAGCAATGTGTTGCAAGAATCTTTGAACCCCTTTTTAGGGGAGAACCCTGTTGGAGTTGATGTTGCAATAAATACTGAACCATTTGATTTACCTCAACCGACTCGTCCTTTATTTGAAGAACAGACAGCCCCGAAAACTGAACCCTCACAGCATGGATTTACGATTTCTTTCAAACTTAGTAAAACAGTGCAGACCAATGAATCTACAGTATGCAAAATGAACAAAGGACTTAAGGAACAATCTTTCCCTGTATGGATGCTGTGCCCAGGAATGGAAGGGTCTTGGATGTTAAGAGTTCTATTTTCTCTTTCTTTTTCTTTTTTCTTTTTTCTTTTGGCATTCACATACCATGGAGAGGAGAGCACAGCAGGGTTCTGTTCTGTGTTATGGGATACCATAAATACATGGATGTACTTGCTTACACAAGCAAAGGTTGTGAATGATATTAGTGTGTATTACCTTCAATATTTATTTTTATTAATTCACCACAAAATTAGCAAATACATTATTTGATATATACTGTAAGGCGCCTTAAAGAAATGTATGAAGGCACAGCTTCATGGACTAAGAGGAATATATAGTACAAGTCATACGTTTGTTTCAGTATTTAAGTTGGTTGACTTTGGGTTTTGTGTGCTTGTGTATATGCATATTTAAAATAGCTTGGAAAAAACTGGGTATCTAGTCATCACTTTTAAGCTGTAACTTAGAAACTAAATTTAGAAATTAATTAGAAACAATTAATAATTGTCTGTAGGAGTACATTCAACCCAAAAGGCTGATGGTTTTGATTGTTTTCAAGTGATTAACTGAAGAGAAAAGGTTGTGGAAATATCAACTGAACAAATTTTTTGCACACAATAATAGTACTATCCTTAGAATCCAGTATAAAACCAGCATTTTTCTTTAAAAAATCAATTGGTGTGTGATCTTTGATCCTTGCTGACTGGTCTGCAACCAACTGAATTTGTTTTCTTAGGTGATACGAAGAAGTAGCGATGAAGAGAAGCTGCTGTGTTTGGTTCGTCAGCGTGCAGGTCATCATTGCCAAACTGCTGTTATCGTGATACTTATTTTGGCTTGGGAAGGGATTCCTCATCTTCTTGCTGACACACTCTACAAGGAACTGACCCAGAGCCTTAGAAAATATGGCTGTCCAACCAGCCGTAGGTGTGCGCTAAATGAAGAGTAAGTGCACTTCAAAGCTATGATATTTTGATGCATAAGGTTTAACTATCTCATTGAATTGCCATTGTGACTCTGATGAGTCTTGGAGATTTCAGATTATGGTCATCATAATATAGAAACTGGAAGGGGCTTTTGCAGAGGCATTCTGTTCTTGCTGTTCCGTAGGATGCACACCACACTCAGTTGCCATTCTAATGGAAAGCAAGGGTAGGGCCTGAAAATGAGTGTTTTCTAGTTCTTTAGATTTGAGCCTAGGTAAAAAGAGTAGAGTAATTGCATAAAAACATATAATGCAAAAGGAAAAAAGGGGGGAAAGACAAAAACGTTGTGATACCTTAAAGACTATTATATTTTAATGTAATCTTTTGTGGATCTTAGCCCACTTCTTCAGACATGTAAAGTGGAAAGCAGAGATAAACACCATAAAACATTTATGCTGAGAAGTGAGCTAAAAGGTCAACAAAAGCTTACATTAAAATATAATAGTCTTTCAGGTGCCACAACACTTTTGTCTTTTATTATCATTATTATGATATGCAGATAGAAAGCCATATCTTTTGCCTCATGGTTTCTCTTTTCTCAATCCTAGATATTTGCCTGTGTGTGTGTTGGGGGGGGGTGTTTCTAGGTGGCTTCTGCGATTCAAAGACCTAGAATTTAAAAATGTTGGTTTCCAACTATCTTGTTGGCTTTTCCATGACATTTATTTTTAAATTATTTGCAGGTCACCTAAGAAAAATGTTCTGTACATTTTCATATTTTAAATTCATTAAAGTTATTCAACATTTATAGTTTTTCAGCTTGGTATCTATAGCACATTTATATCAATTTGATGGTAGTTTAATTGCTGTAGCTCTGTCTTACAAAATCCTGAATATGCAGCTTTATAAGGTAGAAAACTTAGAATTCTGTGCTATGGTTCAGGAATGGGCAGTTGAACTTTCTAGCAGATACTTGAAAGTACCCCCAGCAAATTACACACCATAGATTTCTATAGAAATCTACAACGTACACAGACTCTGTGATAGTCCGAATATTTTTCTGTGGCCAAAATCCTTTTTGTTATTTGTCCTCATGTAAGAGGAAAAGCAGAGGTTGCTTACTGATGAGGTAGTGATCACCTGTTGGTTCTGTGTCTGGTCATGTGTCTGCCATACACACAGTACACGTACACCACTTCATCAGTAGGTCCCAACTAATGATAATGATGTCCATATTTTATCTTACATGAACATAAATAATCAACAGGGTTCTGACCTGCATTGTTTCATGAGAGCAAAACAGTTTTTTAAGTTCCATTTCAAGAACACAAAGTCAGCTGTTATGTGAAAGAGTTTAATATGAGATGTTACCCCCAAAATTACTTTTCATCTGTTACGGTGAATGTCCAGATAGGCACAGATACGAATGTGTACCTGTAGCTTCTTTTTGCTATGTTCATAGCTAGGTGCAGTACTATCCTTATGTGGCTAATAGAATGATGCAACATCCGGTGATAATATCAGCCAGTGCATTTATTTCTCTAGTTCCATGGGGTGGGAGCTGTGATATTTTTGTAATCTGATAACCTTTTAATTTTATAAAAGGTTCTGGAATTCTCTTCCTGTGATCTGAAAGAGATATAGAATGCCTTGCCTTTATTATTGAAACTGGCTGTAATATAAATATTTTTTAAAGCTGGTAAACAATTTTGTGCATCTTTTGCATTGTTCTGTTTGATGTTATATGGGGCATACTTTATAAAGAAGTTGGCCACACTAGTAGTTGACTGTCCTTCATATAATTATTCTCCAGTCGTACCTGTGCCTGCCAGGGTCTTGATCCAGAGACTTGTGGAGCATCATTTTCATTCGGTTGTTCATGGAGTATGTATTACAATGGCTGCAAGTTTGCCAGAAGCAAAACCCCTAGGAAATTTAGACTTCTTACGGATGATCACAAGCAAGTAAGTACCTCCTCCTCCCTCCACATTCTTCCACAAATAATTTCTAATAATAGTTTTAAGGACTAAATGCAGCCAGGGTGCAGACAAATGTTTCATTAGAACAGTACAGTACTATTAAACAAACATTCTAATAACTGTTCAGGGTTATGTATATGTGCAGGTTGCTGGGGAGCATCGTCCCTCTTTTTCCCTCAGCCAGGTCTCTATTTGAGGAGTGGTCTCCTGCAAAGCTAGCAAAATCCTGCCTGCCGCTTCCCCTGTCTTGCAAGACATGGGGTGGGGTTTCAACTCTGCTTTTATTCTCTTTCTGGAATTCTCTCCTTGGGAGTGATGGGTTCAATGGGTTTAAAATAGTATTCTTTCTCTTAAGCTTCTTTGGAAGCTTTTCTTTCTTAGTCCCCAGTCAGGGAAAGGGTGAAAAGAGGAAAATAACCAAGAAAGGGTCTAGAGGTTAGTTTGATCAGGAAAGAAGCAGAAAGAATGGACAAGAGTTCAAGGGGTAAAGGAAAGATGGTATACACAGGTAACTGTGTGGTGTGTGTACGTGTGTCATTGAATGAGTGGGCCAGCTTGACTCTCCTTGGCGTCTCCTCTCTTTTTTCCTCCCTTGGCAGCAGGCAGCCTTTATATCCACCTTGCGCTACGTGTAGAGCAACTTCTGCCTCTCTCTTAAGGGGTGCTCTGTAATCGCCAAGGCTGATAAGACAACATAGGCCTCTGTTTTGGTCCTGCTTTCATGGTAGTAACACATGGCAGCCCCTCCTTCTTCGTTGGCTTGAGGCCCTGTGGTAGGCTTAGCAGTAGACTGGGTGTGGTGCATGGGCCCTGGATTGGAGCATAACCGTTTACCGACAGGGTGTCCCTGTCCTTTGTGTACATAGCTGCTTCAAGAGAAGTGTATCAAACACACTGGATGCAAAGACCAAAATTTTGAAGACAGTTGCTTCCCTGTCATGGTCTTCAGCATATTAAGTGATGTGTTTTCTGTGGCAACCTGGGGTGCAGAGTTATGTTATATGGCGAGAGCACAACCTATGTCTTTTGCGTTTCTCCAGGCACCGGAGAACTGGGTGGATGGATGGGATCCCAGTTAAAAAGAACACTTCTGTGGTGATTGTGAGATTTAATAAAATCTATTAGAGAGGGAACAAGGAGGTGAAGAAGAGTGTGCAGTGCATGTGTATAAGGAAAAAGGAGGGGGAGTAATAGGGAACTGCCAAAATGTGAATGAATAAGTGGGTGAGTATGGAGGCTATATGTGTGGGTGCGCGTACACATGGATAGGCGTACACATGGAGAGAAAAAGCAGCAGGATCTGGGCAAATAGTAGATGAGGAGAACCTTGGACAATTTTTGAAGAGGACTCCCCCCACCGCACCCCTTAAACCTATCTATAAATGTTTTTTGGCATAAAGAAAAACCACATCTCAGTCTTTAGTAACAACTTAGGTTAAAGATCCCCATTTCCTTTTTTAACATGAAATACTGTGCTCCCTTTTTGGAGAGATGTCCATATTTTTATATTTTTAAAATAATATTAAGTTAACTGCTGGACAGCTCAGTGGTTTAAGGCATCTGCCTGCAAAGCCAGAGGTTGGGAGTTCAGTTCCCCTCTGTGCCTCCTTGAAAGGGGCTGGACTTGATGATCCATAGGGTCCCTTCCAGTCTGCCTTTCTAAGATTATTGTTATTATAAGTGTGTTGCAATCCACTCAGTTCTAAGATTATTGTTATTATAAATGTGTTGCAATCCACTAAAATGTAAACACAGGCGTACCTCGGTTTACAAAATCAATGCGTCCTCTGGGATGTTACGTCATGCGGAAATTTCATAAACCGATATGCGGATTGTGCTAGGAATGGGGGTGGCGCTAGAAACCTCCAGACACAGTGTGTCCTGAGGGAAACACTTTCATACAGCGGGTGGGGGGGGGGAGAACATAAACCGAGGCATTATTGTCTATGGATTTTGGTTCGTAAACTGAAAATTACATAAATCGAGGCTTTCGTAAAGCGAGGTACAGTACCGCTGTAAAATAAATCTTTGAGAGGCATGCTGTGATTACCATAAAGGGAGCCTGTACATCTGAGTTTGTTACTATGTTGCTGTATTTAACTAAGGTTATCTAATATGATCATCCTTGACCTTTCAGCAGAACTTGGAGGAGCTATTTTTCTCTACTACATTTCCCAAAATCCCTTAGCTATCATGGCAAGTGATGAGTTCCGAGGATTGCAATCTAAAAAAATCAAAACCAAAAACAAACAAACAAAAAACACATTAGCCATAATCCTGTTGGGGTTCATGTAAGATTTCCATCCCAGTTGTGCAGTTTGCTGTGTGACCAGGCACTCAACCAAGACTCACCTTGACACTTCGGCAGTTAGCCAAACAAGTCACACAATACTGATATGAACATCGTTTGGATTCTAGGCAGCTTCTCCAAGTTCTGTGTTTTTTCTGATGCATATGCTGTGGAAGCAAGGCCTAAATTATGTACTTTAGTTCAAATTTTACAGGCAAGCACAAAGCTGTATTTTGTTGTTGTTTTTATTAGATTCATTAAAGATCTAGCTAAATACTAAACATTGATCATTTTGCAGATGACAGAAAGCTAGGAGGTGTAAGCAATACTAATGCAGAAGAAGATAGATTCAAAGTAAAGACAGATATGGATCATTTGAACAACTGCACGGAGTGAGATGAGGTTAAATGTAAAGAACTATAAAATTTTACTTTTAGGTAAGAATAGCATGTAGCATAGATTTAAAGCTAGAGACGTCTACTCCCTTGCACATAATCATAAAGATATATTGGATAGATAGCAACATTTTGAGTGTGCTAGAGTCCATGACATTAGACTGGTTCACATGTAGTATCAAAGCGTTGTTAAACTTTACAATAATAAGATGTAGTAAATCTTGGAGTTACTCTGTTCCCCTTCCAAACATAGTTGTTAGGATGAATCTGGAAACTTTTCTTTTCTTTTTTCTTTCTTTTTTTATTTTTTGGTCACTAACCATAGCTCTATATATTCTTTATCCCTGCCAAAGCCTGATTAATCATAATTCAGGTTTGTTTGAATCCATGGATTAGAAAACTGGCTTATAAGATTATTCATAGTGTAGGGTTTGGATCCCACACTTAAACTGTGGTAAATCTGTAGAGGAAGCAGAAACTAGATAAAAGAATGTGTCTGTTCAATCGCTATCACCATTAGAAGACTAGCAAAACTCGCAGAATGCTGTAATAGTATATCATCTTGGGATATGCGATTAGCAGGAGCGGAGCACTGTGCATGAAACTTTGGCTGTCCAGTTAAGACAGCAGGAAAGACTGCATTTTTAAAAGTCTGCCTTCCATGATTTCTTTATAATTTTCTTGTTTTCAGTTTGTTGTTGAAGCGACAGTGCTTTTGGTGGGTAGACGCCTGGAGCAGCAGACTCAAGAACTTATCTTTTAATGAAGTGTTGTGCTATTTATTCTGTGCTATTTAGATTCTGACAAAGCTTACTGTAGCGCTTTTCCCTACTTAAAACTTTGACTGAATTCATCATCCTCCATTTTAGCTCCAATTTCCTCAGACCCTCAAATTCACAGAAGGGCAAGAATTGTATTTGGATCAAATGTAAATGGCAAAAATTGCAAGTTCTCTACCTGTATCCTCAGAGTCACAGTATTGATAGTTCAGATGGATATAATGGAGGAAAGAATCCATAAGCAAGTTTTCTTTAAGCAAATGTGAATTTTTTAAAATTATAGTTGAGCTCCCCCCTCTCCAACTTTTTCCCATTCTGGGCTGTAAGTACAGAGTCACATCTCACAATTAGTATAAATCAGAGGTTTCCAGCTTTGGGTCCTCAGGTATTCTTCGACTAAAACTCCCAGAGCTCTTCACTACTAGCTGTGCTAGCCAGGATTTCTGGGAGTCCAAGAAAATCTAGTGACCCATGGTTGGGAAGCACTGTTATAAACTGACTAGAAAGCTGGTTGTTGTGGTTTTTTCAGGCTCCTTGGCTGTGTTCTGAAGGTTGTTCTTCCTAACGTTTCGCCAGTCTCTGTGGCCGGCATCTTCAGAGGACAGGAGTAGCCGGCCACAGAGACTGGTGAATTGTTAGGAAGAACAACCTTCAGAACATGGCCAAAGAGCCCAAAAAACCCACAACAACCATTAGATCCCGGCTGTGAAAGCCTTCGTGAATAAATTGACTAGAAAGCTGTTATGCCCTAGCTCTTATATAAGGATAAGAATGGTCTGCTTTAGACTAGAGTTTATGACTAAAATGTGTGTGAAATACTTAGAGCATTGAAAAACACTAGAAAATGCTACAAGGAATTTTGTGACACTTTGAAGATAAACAAGTTTTATTTAGCATATGTTTTCATGGACTATAGCCCATATGTTCAGATACATCTGTGTAATTGTTACATACTATATATCTGCAAGGGAGATGGTACTCAAAATCGTGTTAAATTCTTTTTGTATGTCAAGATTATTAATTTCTCGACTTTTCTCTTTCTTTAACCAGCTCTCAGAAATACTGCAGTTTCTTACCTTTACATTATAGAATGTTTCTTCATCATCAACTACTCACCCTAATCACAGGAAGTGAAATAAATCTTGAGCACAAGTCACATTGATAAACTTTCATAGTTTTGCTGGTCTGATCGCAAACTATAAAATTACAGGATGTCTTCTCTCTGTGTGTCTAGGAAGAAAAGCTGGAAAATAATTTGCAAATCTTAGCCACTGATGTGGCTCCATTGTATCAGAAACTTGCTCCTGATGCATTCGAGAATCAGGTAGGTCTATAAAATGCCATATTTACATATACACTGATCTCATACAATGCCTCATCGTTTTTATTCCTACTAATAAAAGCAGAAAAGTTGCAAAGGTCTGAACGTGACAGTCAATGCAAATGTTCAAACATCTCTAGTTGAAGATGGCCTTAGGCTACTTTGCAGGCTTACTGAAAAGGTACTTTCTTTTGTAAGCCTGTATACATTTTCCTCACAATAAGCTCTATTGAACAGAGTAGCTAAATTCCTATTGCATTTCACTGCAGAAGCTCACCCTGCAATTGTGTGCCTGTTTGCTTATTTGATTATGCAATTAATTGTGCAATTAGTTGCACAAGACACCCGCAGAACTGCTTGTTGGATATGACTTCTGCCTTGGGATGAACTTTGCTACCGTTTGTGCAGCATTGAATTGTGTAGGCACAGCTATGCAACGGGATTTCAACCAGCAAGACTTGTTTTTGAATAGCTATGCATAAGATGCCATTTTTAAGAGTAAGTGTGCTTTCCTTGTTAATTATTCCTTCTAACCATCCTCCCAACGAACAATCTGTGACTTGTGTTCTTCATCCAAGCTGCTCATATGTACTGTATATTGCCTGAAGCTTGTAGCCCAATAATCTTTCCAATAATTTTAATTAGATGCTTAGGCTTAAAATCGGAGTACTGTCATAACAGCGATTAGCAGACAGCTCATATGCTTTTAACAGTGATGCGTGACTGTGTGTTAGTATTGTTTTCTCAGTTCAGATACTTACTTTGAAGGAGACGTTTTCTAGAAACTAGTGGTCTCTCACATGACTCTTCCCTTCAAATGAAACAAAGTTATCTTGTTTTTAGGTGGAAAATGAACATCTTGGTCCTGATTGTCGGCTTGGGATCAAGGAAGGCCGGCCTTTTTCTGGTGTCACAGCTTGCATTGATTTCTGTGCCCATGCCCATAAGGATACACACAACATGCACAATGGAAGCACTGTGGTATGTGATGTTCTGCTTCCTGCTTTGAATTTGGTTTTCTGCATGTGACTTTTACTCCACAATTTCATGCATTTCCCTAATTTTGTTGTGCCAGCCTCTAAACTTTTGCAAGGAGTGGGCAACTTGTAGCCCCTAGAGGCATTTTTGAAGCCCCAGAGACTGACTGGAGTCCTTGTATTTTTGTCAAAAATATGTTTTTTTCAATCCCAGGTGCCTCTAGGAGTAACATTGCTCAGCTGAAAGGCCCTTCCCTAAAAGAGAAACCAGATGTGCCTGTTTTGGACACCTTCTGCTTAAGTTTTATTTTTGGGGGGGGTGCTGCTTTTCTTTTCTTTTTAATTGCCACTTTGAGCTATTTGAGGGCCTTGATTCAGCCTGCAGGTGATCCTGATGGCAAGAACTTGACCCCTGGGCCCACCACAATCACTCACTTTTGCCCTCTGCCTCTTGGATTTGTGCTTATACCTAACATAATTTGATTGAAAGCTTATCATTTATGAAGGATTGGTGTGACTAAAACTCAAGAATTCCTTTGGCTTGATAGTGCTTCAGGCTATATAACTAGAGACATTGACTGGTGTACACTGTCTGTCCCCATGGTTTTGGATTGTGGACATATTCTCCAAAATAGAAATTTCTCACCATTTCTACAATGGATGATGTGACCTAGAAGTCAACAACTTTTGGGTGACAGAGTAGTGTTGGAAAAGTCTTTAATGTGCTACAGGACAGCTTATTTTCTATCATCTGTCATGCTGAGTAATGGTAGTAATACTTTTATAATAATGTAAGGAATCCCATTGATGTTTGTGTGAGGTTTGTATAACTTTTTCTGGCTAATTTATACAACATCAGGGTGCATCTTAGTTGCCCTATAGGTTCACAACCAGACATACAATTTAAGACATACAGAAACTCCAGCAGGTCCAGAATATGGCATTCAGACTGTTGAGCAGAGTGAAGAAATACCATTGTATTTCCCCTAAACTGGCCACCTTGTGCTGGCTACCTGTTTGCTTCCATGGCAGCTTCAAGGTGATGATTTTGACATACAAAGCACTAAATAGTTTGGGACCTCAGTACCTGACAGAACAGGTCTTCCCAGTAAGATCTGCCTGACCTACTCAAGCTTCCTAGGTGGAGTGGTTGAGATTATTGACCCTGAGAGAGGCCCAAAAACAGAAGACTAGAAACCTCGGCAGTTGCTCCCTGCATCTCTGGAACAACTTCCTGCCAGAAATCTGCCTTGCTCCTTCACTGGGAACCTTCAACTGATCCCTGAAGACATGGCTTTTTGGATAGGCTTTTCCAGAGATTACATCACGATAGTGCAGTGGCAGTCTCAGCATTTATTCCTCCTCGGCTATCCTGCCTTTTAAATTAGTAGTATTTATGTTTATGTTGAAGTGGTTTTGGTTATTTGTCATCATATGTTGTAATTTTGATTTTTGTATAACCACTATGTTTGATATATTTTTAAGTGTCATTGTTTTGTTGTGTTGTAACTAGATGGGTGGTATGGACGTCGAATGAATGAATTAATATATAAATAAATAAATAGAAAGAAGTTGTTGCATCTTTTTTTTCCCTTTTGTACCTAGGTTTGTACTTTAACAAAAGAAGATAATCGTACGGTGGGGGTGATACCAAATGATGAGCAACTGCACGTCTTACCTCTTTACAAAATTTCACAAACAGATGAATTTGGCACAGAGGAGGGGCTGGAAGCCAAGATAAAAGCTGGCGCCATACAAGTGCTTACTGCTTTCCCCCGAGAAGTAAGAATGTTAGCTGAGCCACGGAGAGCAAACAAGAAAAAGAAAGCAGAAACAAAAAAGCAAACCTTAGCAGAAAGGAAGCATACTATACCTGTGAAGGGGAAAAATGGAGTGTCAGAAAATCCCAATAAAACTTCACAGAATTTAGGTGAGCGTAAAGTATTGAAATTTCAAAATGGAAATGTGCAACTGAGGAGATAGTGTTGACTCTTAAGAATTTGAATCAAAAAATTAAGTTCTTATAGGGTATTGATCTTGCTGTACCCTATTTATTATCAAGGTAGAGCAAAGCAAAATGTAAAAATTATAACAAGTCATCAGTACATTTTCTAATATGAGTGAGTTGCTGAAAATGTGCAGTAGAGGTTGACCAAGCTGACTTGCAAGTTGTTTATGACACAGATAATGTTGTATTAAGAGAGTCAGAATAGTTATACTAAATACCCATCTAGTGCTAAAATTTACATCAAAAGGACATAGACTTGTTGTGCACATAAAGTATATATGTTGCAGTTTGTGCACCGCTCAAATAGCTTTTGGACTAATAATTGAAAACTACAATCACAGTTGGGTGGGAACTCCATTCCTTTACATTTATACTCAAAACATAATATCATAAGAGAAATCTTCCTCCTCCCATATCCAAGCTGTCATCACTCATTTTTTCCTGATACCAACAAGATTGCCTTCACTCCCTAGAACCACATGCATGTTCGTTTAAGCTATGTCCTAGCTCAGGGGTCTCCAAACTTTTCAGTGAGGGCCACACTGAATATTTTCAATTTTTTAGGGCTGAAGGAACAGAAATGTGTGTGCGCACGCACAGATACAAGCCCCCTGCCTGCACACATGCACACACACCCCTGCCTGCCCCACCGCATGCACGCACATCCACACGCATACCCACCTGCCTCCATATACACCCCCCCTCCTGCTGCCCTTCACATGCATGTACACACGCACCCCCCTCCCACACACACCCGGCCCCACCACACACATGCACACCCCACCCATCCCCTGCACACATGCCCCCTGCCCACACATACACATGGACCGCCCCCACACACATGCAGACATGCACCCCCTGCTCGCCCCACCGCCCGCACACATGCAGTAAAAACCCCACCCACCCCACCACATGCATACACACATGCACACCGCTATGTCCCACATGCCCCACGGACGCACACGCATTCCGTCCTGCTCCCCACACGTTCACACACACATGCACACACGCCTCCACGCATACACACATGCTCCACCACACATACACCCCTGGCCTCACACGCACACACTTGCCCCCTATGTTTGTAGCTATTGTCTAAAAATATCATGCAAGTGTTCTGGAGCTCTGAATGTGCCTGGTCTTTAAACTGGATCTTGTTCATCACAAATTTGTTATGGATCTATGTATACCATTATTTGTTGTTTATTATTTGTTTGTTTGTTGTTCACTTATTATAACTACTGGTCATTTTTATGAACATGCAGAATTGGGCTAGACTAGGGGTTAAAAGAAAAAAAAACCAATGGGTAGTTACCTATGGCATATCTGTACAAGTTACAAGACCAATTCTGGGAGTTCAACTTTTCATGAAAGAAAGTTAGCCTTTTGTAACTTTGATTTGTAGAAGAAGAAACATTTACATAATTAAGGGCAGGAATGATATAAATTAAATGTAAATTGTCCTACGTATGATACATTTTAAAGAAACCTCTGTAAATAATTAACATTTTTATTTCAACATTTTTAATGTTTTCCCCCTTAGGGAGCAAATCTAATACATTGCAACTGGGAACTAAAATGGAGACAGGTGATCGCCTTCCAACCATAAAACAGAATTCGGACACTACTACAAATTGCTCTGTATTAAAGCAATACGCTCCTTCTTCCCCTTTAAAGCTGGACAGTTTGCTCTCTTGCTCTCCATTAACTCAAAAAGCTAGTGGTGCAATGCCAGTGACTAACAGTCAGCAAGAGCTTTCTACTCCCTACGGGTATTTGCAATGCAGTAATAACAAACCTCAGATGACACCCAAAGGTAAAAACTTGGATGTGTCCATTAGTGATCATACTGGAATTTTGCTGGATGAAAAGAATGGGGCACCCTCATTTCTTCAAAACCTTGCTGTTTCGTACTCCACAGCTGACAGAGAAAACCTGCCCTACACACTTGAACAAGAAGAGGTCAGCAAGCAAAATTGTGAAATTAAGTTAGAAAACTCTCTTGCCTCACAGCTGGCAAGCTCTTGTGAGTCGTCATTGCGTTTAAATGCTCCCAAAGAGGTAGCCAGAAATGAAATCAGTTCTTCCCAGGAATGTCCAGTGCAAAAAGATGGTTTCATGCAAATCTCAAATTGTGATTCTGCCAATGTGAGCAAACTATCAGGCAGTGAGCTCCTGAAATGCACAGATTCTGAAGAGAAAGAAGAAATGTGGTCAGATAGTGAGCATAATTTTTTGGATAGTGATATAGGTGGGGTAGCGGTTGCACCATCACACGGCTCCATCTTAATTGAATGTGCGCGCCGTGAACTCCATGCCACAACTCCAATTAAAAAGCCAAACAGGAATCATCCCACACGGATATCTTTAGTCTTCTATCAACATAAAAACTTGAATGAGCCAAAACATGGGATTGCGCTGTGGGAAGCGAAGATGGCAGAAAGAGCAAAAGAGAAAGAAGCAGAAAAATTAAACACTGAGAACGACAGTCAACAACCAAGTGACAGGAATGCACACCAGGCCAGTGCCACCAGAGAGAATGTTTATGAAGACAATGAATTCAACCAAATTCCATCCCGCCGAGCATTGACAGTAACTCATGATAACATCATAACGGTGTCTACTTATGCCCTCACACGAGTTGCAGGGCCATATAATCATTGGGCATAATTTTTTTAACAACTGTACAACTTTTGCCTTGGAGCAGTGTTACACAATAATTCCTAAAGGTGCTGTTAAAGAACAAAGTCTTGTATGGTTTACTCTTTGTTCATCTCAACCATTTCGAAGGCTGAGGTAAAAAAAAATTTTTTTTTCTTAAACTGTGACTTTATATATTTTAACATCTGGTGATTCTCAAGCACATTTTAAGCAAAAAAAAGAAAGAAAGAAAGAAAAGAAAAGAAACAATTGTATAGTTAAATGATTTTGGCTAGGTTATTAACCCTGATTGAATGATTCAGTTTATTACCTTTTTGGAATTTATACTTTGGTGCTTTGAATTGTCTGTTTACTACAAATGGGCTTTTTATAAATATTTTAACAGATTTCACCTTTTATGATGTAAAATCAAGTTAGACAGTATTAGTTGTACATGGCTCTTGGTGCTTAATCACAGTGAACTGTTAAATATAAGCTGGTTTTATTTCTTCATGGTGCCATTGCTCCAACAGCTTCCAGTCATTGCTGTGAAGCCCAGAATAAAGATAAAGAACCAATGATGATTTTATCTGTGTATAGATTTTTCGTATATGTATAGCTTGTGTGTGTGCATGTGTGATCCCCACACATCCCCACACAAACAGTATCACTAGTGATGGTTGGAGGTCGTAAACTGTAAATATATATATTTAAAAGCACTTTCTATTTTTAAAATTAACTTGAAATAGTATAAGAATTACATTTGTCTAAGATTTGTGCATTCTCTATCAAGGAATTTATTTTTTTTCTCACAGTTTTAAGAGTTCCATTTTGCTATAAAAGCAGTTCATGTGTGCTAAGAATATCTGATTTTTAGACCTGCTCTCCACTCCTTTTCCTCAATTCATTGTTTAGTTTGTTTCTCAACAAAAGGCTAATAAAATGCAGAAACTCAGTTATTTGCAAATCTGGATTAACAAGCATTTTGTCAATACCTGCATTATTAAGATATTTTGTTCTAAGCATTTTCATGAAGGCTTTCACGGCTGGGATCTAATGGTTGTTGTGGTTTTTTTGGGCTCTTTGGCCAAGTTCTGAAGGTTGTTCTTCCTAATGTTTCGCCAGTCTCTGTGGCCGGCATCTTCAGAGGGTGAACTGG